TTGAGTTGAATTACTGAAATGAACTTTTCCACGACATTCTAATTTATTGAGATGCACCTGTATAATGAGTACAAACAGCAGGCACTGTTAAAATGATGTACATAGAGATTGTCTTCATTTCTACTCCCTCCATCTCAGAGTCCTGGCCAGTACTATTTCAAGCCCATGATGAAGGAGTTCCGCTTTGAGCCCTCAGCACAAATGATCACATTAGAAGAAGGACAGGTCCTCCATATTCCCATCACTGGCTTCAAAACAGCTTACAGGTCAGCAACACACAGCATGTTAGAATATGCACTGCCAGTTAAAATGCTTAGTATAAAAGTTAGGTAATACATGCATACAGTATGTACACTAAGTCCCTTAGTACACAAAAGCTGAATTGAATTGATCACAAATACAGTAAATCAGTCATATTTTTTTTAATTACTTGATTTCATTTTTTTTTTTTTTTTTCTCAATATATTTAAATTTATTCCTGTGATGGCAGAGCTGAATTTTACTCTAGTCTTCAGTGTCACACAGTCCTTTTTATAGAAAACATGATACTTTTTTTTTCAGGATTTATTTTTATTTTTATACTAAGTTTAAAAAAACATTCATTTGAAATATCAATTTTTGTAACATTATATAATATATTTACTGTCATTTTTGAAGAATTTATTTAAAAAGAAATCTGTGTACGTATTGAACATTTTACAAAATATGCCCTGTCAGTTGTGGTGTAAATATTCTAATTGTGCATTTCAACATGTATCAGCTGCTATGGAACAGTGCAGTCAATAGGAGGCGATGCGGAGCAGGGTGTCGCTGTGGAGGCAGTGGGGCAGGGAGAGTGTGGCGTGTACAGTGAGGACACGGTTACTGACGAAGAGGGCCGCTTTAGACTCAGAGGCTTGCGGGTAAGTCTTTATTGGAGAAAACTGTTTAGACAAACAGTATGACTGACAAAAGTTCACAAGAACATACATTTTACAATTCTAAACAAAACTTGCCTTTCCTTCATGTCAATGTCAGCCTGGGTGTAACTACAACATTCAGCTGAGAGGAGAAGGAACTGATCACATTGAGAGAGCATTACCGCCACACAAAACCATTGAGGTGAGCATTGAAGTTTTATTTGCCTATTTTAACACATTTTATTTGAAGTTTCCATTCATGCGTTTATTTTTTGATGGTTTTAGGTGGGCAGCACTGATATTGAAGGAATAAACATAATCGCCTTCAGACAGATCAATCAGTTTGATCTGAGTGGCAATGTCATCACTTCCCCTGAGCATCTTCCCACTCTCTGGGTAGTCGCAGTCATTTAAATACTGTTTTAAAATGGTTTCTCTCATTTGATCAAATCTTGAAGTCATTGTTGTTCCTCCGTCTCTAAAGGTGAAGCTGTATAAGAGGGACAACCCTGACAATCCCTTTCAGAGTGTGTCTCTTGGCCAGTCCCTGTTCTTCCACTTTGCCCCCCTGCCACGTGAAGGAGAGGTACTTTTATTCCTCTAAGCGACTCCTATTTTTATTATGTTTTACAATATTCATATTAATCTGCCCGTACTTTGATTTTTAAGTACATCTTAAAAATGGGTGGTGAGACATTTTATTTATTATTTTCATTTTATTGTCTTCTTGCAGAGCTATGTGCTGATGCTAGACACATCACTCTCTCACTCCCAGTATGACTACAAACTCCCACAAGTCTCGTTCACGTCTTCTGGTTACCACAAACATGTAACACTAACCTTTAACCCTAAGGTAAAAACCTTGTCACACAAAACTTTTTTTTTTCTTTGTCCAATGGACACATTTTTGTGTGAATAGATAATTTATCTGCGATTAGCTTGACATTTGGTGTAAAAAGGATCTAAATTCTGTATTCCAAAAGCTGTCCGTTAGCGTGACTTTTATGAAATGTTATGACGAAGTTATGATATTCTCAAGTCGTCACGTGTTTATATAGCACTTCCTACAATACAGATTGTGACAGCATGTGTGCAGTGTTAATGTTGCAGAATTCATCAATTAACAGTTGTAAGCATATCAGACAACACCAAAGACACTGGTGTCATTATTCAGCTCAAGTTGGTTCAGCGTCGATTCATTTCAACAACAGTGTCAGTGGTGCCAAGTTCATCAATTATTAAACAAGTTCAATTCAGCTCTACAGAAAGCAACAGTATCATTATCCAGTTCAATTTAGTTTAAAACTTGTCAATAGTAGGGATGTTCATTTTAACCGGTTAATCAACCATAAGAATTTTGACCGAATCAGTTAAACGGTTTAAAAAGTCATTTAATTATTTATACTTTTTTATTAAAAGGTTTGCTGCATGGTTAAAATACACTACACGTATAAAAAATGTTTTTTAGGAGGAAAAAAATGTCGCATTTTAATATTTCATTCAGAAATAGGCCTAATGCTGATGCGAAATGTCAATAAAAACAAATCTTTGTGCTTTTGAAAAATAAACCTAAAGAAAAATAGGATGCCGCTTTCTGCCGTCTGTTTCCTTTCGGGCAGCACAAAAATGAACTGATTCATTTTCTTAATATATTATTTAAGTAAAAAGTGTGTAGTGTAAAAGTGTAAGTGTATAGGCCTATTTATTCGTTTTATTTATATATGTATATAGTCTAGCTTTGTTTTTCTCCGCTCGCAGAAGCGCTGCAGATGTGTGAAGTGATATGATGACCATGTGAATCCTCATGTTCTGTGGTTTGCTGCTTTTTGCGCATGTAAAATTAATTCCCAGGAAGCAAATGTTAGTATTTTTTAACAGGTCACAGACACTTATCCTTTCTAATTTAATTCAATTCTAATTTAAAATAATTTTTTCGGTTAACAATCGGATAACGAGCGTCAGTTAGGAAAAGTAACCGAAATGAACATCCCTAGTCGATAGTGTCAGTGTAGTTGAATACATAAAAAATATTACCGATTATTACTTATTGTCTTTTAAAGCCCAAGCTCTTAGATTTAATTTGTTTGACTTTCCACAGAGGAGAATACCAGATCAAGATGTTGCCCAGGGATCTTTCATCGCCCTTCCTCTCACATTACTGCTGTTGCTTGCTGTCTATAATCATGAGCGGGTACCAGTTTCTTTTTCTTTCAGAATCGTTAAAAAAAAGCTTGACATTCTTGACAGTTACAATAGCTGCTGTTCATATAACATTATGTAGATGTTGATGTCTACATTATGTAGATGTAGATGTTTTATACAGTATATAGATTTGTGTCGTTCCCAGGTGATCCCACTTCTTCTGCAGCTGGTCAGCCAGATCCAGGGAGTTCGAGGACTCGCTCAGGCAAGTGGGGATGGACTCCCGGTGGATGAAGCCAAACGCCAATCAAAAAGGCCAAAGACAAGACGTACATGATACCTAAGTATGTCCTAATATGAAGGCCAAGCCAGTCACTGCGTCCAGTGTCAGACAGCACATAAGACCATGTTGGTCTGATCATAAAATCCTATCATAAAAAACAACCTCACATGGGGTCGGCAAAGATTTTTGGACATATTTATTCTTGCTGAATCTCAGATGACCTAAGGTTCTTTTACTGTGGTGTCCTGGTCACACAGATCCCTATATTTTACAGTCCTTAGCATGTGAATGTGGCTCGGAGATTGTGTATTTATGTATGTGAGAGACTGCTCAGGGAGGATGACTGATTTAAGAAACTTCAAATGTGTGTGCGTTTTTTTTTTTTTTTTTTTTGGTTTGTTTATTTCTGTTTAACCTGTAAGGAGTAATAACCCAAGTCATTTTTCATGATTCCAGTAGTAGCCTGAATGACTAGATTTTATTGAACCACTCCATTTAAAAAAAGTTATTATCCATTCAGTTTTATATCTTTACTAGAATTTGTAGAATTAAGTTGTAATTTGCCAACTTAAACACCCTTACATTTGAAAATATAGAGATTAATAAACATTTGACCCACTAAATTAATTTTATATGATTTTTGTTTCCCTTATTTGTTTAAATGCCACAAAACAACTAAGCTTACAAAAATATTTTGTTTCAGTTCCTTAAAGGTAAATGACTTGCTGCTACCATTTGATGGGTTCGGTACATATTCATTCCACTGCATTCATATGATTGTCATTTGATATGTATGGTTCTAGAGAGAAAAAAGATAAAGTGTTTTGGAAATTATTCTTCATTGTGTTTTGGACATTTGTTGTTTAGACTCCCCTACCTGGAGCAAGAAGTCCCCTGTCATCTAAAGCATCTGACATTTTTTTTAAATGTATTATTTTTTTTAATGTGTCAATGTGAAATACTAGATCAAATGTTGTGCAAAGTTATGCATTGTGACAATACTTTAACATAATGGGGCAGGCAGACAAAAAAAACTCAAATCACAATAAAAGAGATGCATGTGAATTATGCTATATAAAAACTATGTATGTTTTGTTAGGAATAGACTATGCTTTACTGTTTAGAATGATGTATTACTCTTACGAGCAAAAATGACTGCGTATTTTAAGTTGTTTCCACTGTTAGAAAAAAATGCAAGTGATCGCACTGGCGCCTCCGTGTCTTGCAGAGCGCGCTTCCACTCCTCCGCAAACGATTGGATATGCGTCTAACAGCGCATATTTATCTAGGTTAAACATTTAAACTAGCATTGTGATATACTTGAACTGTTTTATACAGTATATAGATTTTATTTTAGGCAAGTCATGATGATTTGAAAAGGCTAAATTGATCAAACATATAGGCTATGATCAATTCACTGTCTGCCGCTGGTCGTTACTTAAAAAAAAAACTGAACAAACAAACAACAAAAAAAGGAACCTCAAGGTTGATCTAAGAAAACCCTAATGTGTAACATGTGCAAATGTATCGGGCCCCATTCCTATATTTTACCTGGGGCCCCCAATTCACTAAATCCGCCCCTGGCTATGCATTTAGGTTGAATTGTTCCACTCAGTTGGAATGAAATCCACATGGAAAATCTGAATTAATAGGACCATAACTATTCTATCTGGTCAAGACGTGTGTGGGAAACCGAATAATACCCCATTTTTTTTGTAATCAGATTGATGAAACTGAATATATCACATTTGTTTATGCTTTTAGAACACTAACTTTTATTCTTGTCTGAAGTGTTATTAAAGAGGAATTAAGGTGTTATTGGTTAACTCTTATGAACTGCAGTTTATGAACATGTATAGGCTATCTACGGGTGCCATAAGCACCAGAAGAGAGTTTAAATCCATTTTTTGTTATATGAAAGGATCACATTTTAGGTTACACTTTATTTTAAGGGGTCCTTGTTACAGTGTTAATTATACATTTATGTTCGGAGTAATATTACTTAACATATACTTGCTATATGGTTAGGATTAGGGTTTGGCTTTGGGTTACTTGCATGTAGTTATGCATCATTTATTGTTATTATAATAGTAAGTACATGTAACCTGTAACTAGGACACCTTAAAATAAAATGTTACCACATTTTACCTTACATTTATCAATAACCATGCACTTACAATACAGTTGAGTTTTTTATTACACTTTTTTTCTTTCATAAATGAATTAAATGCCATATATAGGCTATTATATGGTAGCCA